ATATATATACTATATATACTATATATATATATATATATATATATATATATATATACTATATATATATATATATATATATATATATATATATATATAATATATATATATATATATATATATATATATATATATATATATATATATATATATATATATATATATATATAATAGAGTTGAAGAATATATAATATATATATCTATGGTTTCACCGATCACGTGCCTCAATTTGAGACGTGGCTGACAGAAGCAATTGGACGATTCAATCGATTTGTATTCTTTAAAAATCAACATACCTGTCGCTATCTCTAGTGAGGTCAACAATTTCATATATCTGTAACATAAAAGTATCAAAAAAGTATCATATCAAGCACACTTCACGACATGCATTCGCCATTCGGAAATCACATATCTGATGAATTTTCAATTTATTCACAAATATAAAGTCTTAACATGCATAAAAATAGGGGATACTTACTTTCAACTGTTCGCTGTCCATTTCTTAAACAATAAAAATGCAATAAATATTAATACAAAGTCGGATTGACAGGATTGAAATCAGAAAAGCACTCACCCGTATCGAAAGAACTTGTCACCATCATGCCACATGCACAGAGATCGTGCTGAAAAACCGGAAGTCGAGATCAGTCACTGATCTCATTCATCGTCTGGATATACATAGCGAATTGCGAACCTGCAACCCGCAACCTGCAACCTGCAAAATTAACCAGCCGCATCATTTGCATGGACAAGAACTTTTACCAAGACGTCCCTTAAATCTGGCTCCATATCCGAAACTAGTCCCTGTGTTACTATACTCCTGAAGAAAAGTTAGCTATATGGATTTTAGTAATTTAGAATAACATCCCAAATTGGTCCTGTACTTGGCCAAAATAGCAATAAGTATGAGGGTACCTAAATATGGGGACGAAATCAGCACCTAAATATGTGGCCAAAACAGCACTAAATATAAGGCCAAAACAGCACCTAAATATGGGGCCAAAACAGCACCTAAATATGGGCCAAAACAGCACTAAATATAGGGCCAAAACAGCACCTAAATATGTGGGGGCCAAGAAATCAGCACCTAAATATGTGGCCAAAACAGCACTAAATATAAGGCCAAAACAGCACCTAAATATGGGGCCAAAACAGCACCTAAATATGGGCCAAAACAGCACTAAATATAGGGCCAAAACAGCACCTAAATATGTGGGGGCCAAAACAGCACCTCAATTTAGGGCCAAAATAGCATTAAGAATAGGGGCCAAAACGGCCCTCGAGGTGCCAAAATAGCCCTTGTGATCCGTTTTGGCCCCGGTTAGAGCCAAAACGGTACTTATTGCAAAGTGACACAATTCTTATTTTAACCATTAACATTCCAATTTGGCCCTGTACATGGCCAAAACGGCTAGAAAAATAAGGGCCAAAACGGCCCTAGTGTTCTGTTTTGGCCCCTAGTGTTCTGTTTTGGCCCCTAGTGTTCTGTTTTGGCCCTTATTAGAGCCAAAACGGCCCCGGTTTTGAAAAGCCAAAATGGCCCTATGGGGCCAAAATGGCCCTTCTAAAATTACTGTGCTGTGTAAACGATATTAAATAAATCTAAATTATTATTGTTGGTATTAAGTATAGATCGTTTTTACTGATCGCGTGACAAATTTTAAAACCTAAACTATTAAAGCTATAACAGTAGCTGTTTCACATATTTTCTAGATCGCTAACCGCTAAAAGATTTGGTTAAAAACTCGGCTACATTTGAGCAACTGCTTTTTGACTTCCATTTACCAGCACCAACGCGGCCGCAAAGAATCAAATGCCAATGAACAGAGAATCAGCCAAAATGCATAGATTCCTTATAAGGTCACATTAGGCGTCACTTCTTAACCTTAATTATTAACTTTAACCAAGCATTTCACAAGTGAATTGTGTGTGTGACATAGTTTTAACAGCCCTTGAAAATAATGCTGATGTCAGCAATAATATTTTTTAAACTTTGTAACTCAAGGAGAAATAATTGTATCGACTCAAAATTGTTGGTGAACACTCATGGTAACGAAAAACAGAACTTATGGTCCTATAAGATATTAGAATTTTGAAATGTCACGCGAGAACGATCTATTACCCTCTTTAAATACTTATAATCCATCTATCTACATATAAACAGGCAAAGAATTGCAAGTACTCCAAGGACATACAAGGATAGTGCAGTGTTTGGCTCTGTCACACAGTGGAACAGCATTTGCATCCGGGTCAGAAGACGGTACAACAAGACTCTGGAATGTAGAGAGTTTTGAACAGCTTCTTGTTTTACCAGGAGAACGTGGTAATGTAGTGATTGCATTGGATTTCAGTACAGACGATCAGCGACTGTTTACTGGATCGGCTGATGGTAAGCATCTAAAGCCCCGATCAAACGAGGATGAGAGTTGATACGAGTTGGCAAGTGAGAGTGTGCATGTGAGTTTTTCAATGAGAGTAAGAGAGTTGTCTGTAAAACCGAGTGAGAGTTGCAACTCTTATCAACTCTCATCTAGGTAAGCTTGATCGGGGCTTAAATGTTTCGTACCTGAGCTCGCAACGTTTCAAACAAGCCTTTTAAGACTAGAACGAAATTTCGGGCTGCCAGCAAGCTATCTAAGACCGACACAATTAATTCCTGAAAATGTCAGATATGTCGTTCTTCTACGCATTTTATACAGCACATGTAACTGCATACAGTCCTTTTTTTAATTATTATTATTATTGAAACGTTTCACAATAAGTAGCTGAAAGCTAATTACAATGCGAATTAACAATTGTATACTATTAGAATACAAAAAGTTTATGTTACAGGTAAATTTACAATACAACTATAGCGAACTACTTTATATTTACAACAATCAAATGCAGTGGTATACATTAATGTACAACTAAGAACTGTGCTCATTAAAAGGGCATAATTTTCTATGGCAAAAATAGTTGGGCTACTTTTAAACCTTTCCGTCCTACATTTAAAATTATATATCTTATTATCATTTAACCTTGTTTCTCTTCCCCTTATTCGGTTGACGGTAAAAGGTAACAGGTCATGTAATTTATGTATAGGATATATCATGTCTTAACCAGATTTTGCGTATAGTTTCTCTCCGATTTTCTAAGGTTTTAAAACTACGCTGAGTAGACAAGCACGATTATAATCTGTAGATTTATTGTTGATGCACTTCGTAGCTAAAGTTTTTCTACAACTGACTGAGTTATACAAATAGTTACATGTTACCTTTTGTGACTGTAAGTCTGGGAAACAGATCTTACACAACCTCTACCTCTTAATTGCCACCACTAACCCTAAACATGAGTTTTAGTATATCTAATATTTGAGTCATTTAAAAAGAAATATAAGATGGCTTTATTGGGAAAATCTCACCTTTATGGACGTTTTTGCCCTGATAAATTGCAAATTAGTTTACATTTGCTTTTTGCTGCTAAAATTCATCTAATGACACCATATCCGGCAACTTCGACGGTGAAAAAAATTATCAAGATGAAATTTTTTACGGCAAACATATATTACATTTCTTCTCGGAATGACCCAAATGTTACACCCACCAAAAATCGCATTTGAGGTTAGACATAATTAATGAACGATCTCAGACGACAACCTTACTAATGTTTACCATGTATACTAGGGAAACTGAGAGTATGGCGTGTGGCCACAGGTGAACTGTTGCATGTCATTCCTGCACATGATGATTTTATCAGGGGTCTGTGTACTACTAAAGATGGACTGTACATTGCTACTGCATCTGATGACCACACTATCAAGTTATGGAAAGCTGAAACCTTAAATATTGATGCTACTTTGATTGGCCACACTCACGCAGTGAACAGTGTAGTGGCAGCAGGTATGTATGTAATACATGAGAAAATATTCAAGATTTGGGGAATCTTGCTCGATGCAGTAAAAACCCGTATAGATGAAAAACCCTCACTTTTGTACCCTAACTGTGGTAGAAAGCAGGTTCTAAGTGCAGGTAAATGCAAGTACACGCTTAATTTAATACTAGATTGCAAATTTAATAACATGATTTGCTGTTTATTACTCAACGAGGATACATTTTTCTCTAGTTCAGAGGCTTTTAAATAGCAATTATCAGTATAGTAATACTGTCAACAGCTCACTAATTAAGGAAGTGAATAATTTAAAATAGTAATCCAGGAAGAACTGTTTTTGACAAGAAATGACAACCAGTTAAGAACTAACTCGGCCTGATTTCTTGCTAAGTACTCATTATGAAGAACCACTTCAGGCTGACATAAAAATGTAGTGGTTCTTTTATGCCAGTTTTTACAGAAATCTCGAGCGAATTTTCGATTCCTGCCGGATGTCCTATATTGTTTAGCCCGCGCGCAGGCCCACCGAGCAAAGAATAGTGGGCCTGCAAGGAAAGCAGGGTATTTTGTATTTGTCGCGTTCGCACACGAACGAAGCATTCTGATTGGCTGTTTGCGGTTGGATTCTATAATTAGATCAGTGATTCATCACAAAGGCTCTCGATAAGCTTTAAATTGGATCTGATCACTTTTCGATTAAAAATGGAACAAGAACAGACTGTTTATCGTTTACTTGAAGGAAGAGATGTTTTTGCCGTTATGCCAACGGTGATTGGTTTTCGTGAAGTGTTGGAATAGCAACATTACCACTGGGGTAAACTATAGTAACCTTTACTTGTGTTTTATTAACTTCAAACAGAGTTGATACGTTATATGTCCCTCAAGAAGATTATCTTTTGGTTGATGTTGATTGACTCTGTTCTTGCACTGAAGAAAACAGCGCTTGTCGCGGTGAAGCTTTAGAGGCAGTTGCATGTAAGCCTATATTCGAAACACTTTGCGATTTGCAGGGCTTATATGAGAGGGCGAAACAGAAGACGGTAATTGCCGTTTGGAACGATCTGGACTCTGAACGCTTTTTTCTTTTGTCGAGTTCTTTACCAAATTAAATAACTGAAATCAATTTCGTACTTTCCGCCCACAAGAATTGCACACACGATCTGATAAGTGAGACAATTTATTTATAACAATGGCGACAGAAGCACACATCAAGACCCCAAAAACTTGCAGCTTTAAACATTATCGTGTTAAAATAAAGGTTATCTATCTATCTATTAATGCTAATGTGGTCGCACGACTTCCCTCACGATTTGAAGTTTGAGACAGGGTTTCTGTTGAAATTCGTCCTAATTTGCCTGTTCCGAATTTAGATTGCAAATTTGGCAATTATTTGAAGCTGACTGATTTCCTTGCTTTTTACATTGTTTCCATTCTGAATACGCAGAGAAAACCCCGCAAATTTTAATGTGAGTTTGTTTACTATTTGGGTTGCTGTCATTGGTTCTTTTTTGACAATTGACGCGCGAATGGGGCGTGTTATGAAAAGGAGCGTTTTACAAAACACCGGGTCTTTCTTGCAGGCCCACTATTCTTTCCTCGGTGGGCCTGCACGCGGGCTATACATTGTTTGAATATTTCGTAGCTGCTCCCATTCGCGTCTAAAATATGCGTATAATTTTCGCTCAAAAATTCCATCAACAAAACCATTCAAAATGCAATGTATGTGTGTATCTTATACATCTGGTATGCCCAGTATATATAGGCATCGGTGATGTTACAGGTGGTTGGTTACAGGATATCGGCTGGGTGCCAGATGTTCTTCCATGCTCGCAGGGGGAAAATGAGGGATACACGAGGATGGAAGTTGGGCCGGGGGCAAGCGGGAAGAAACTCTGGATTTGCTGTTTTGATTGTCACATGTCAATCAAACGTTAGCCAATAGGGCAAGTACTTATTTCTAACTGATGATTTTAGGCGTGTGAAATCGAACATTTGAGAAATGGAAATTGCGACAGAATGTGTTAATTTCACAACAAAAATTTAAAATTAGCATGAGTCTTACAGTAAAATAACCCGAATAGTATTATATGGGCACATGGTGTCTGGCTGTACACCTGTTGAAAGCGTTACAAAAAAAGTTGGAGACGATAAATATTGTCGAGTTTGTGATAAATTAATCGTTATTCACAGTGGGTATTTTAATATATTCAGTAAAAGAATTTCAAATAGTAAAATGCGTTTTTGGTAGATTGAACTTTGAAGCATCTCTCGTTCATTATAATAGTCTCCGGTTTGGCAAAAACAAATGAATATTTGCCGTCTAAGACTCCCTTCTTGTCTTGACATGTTTGATTACCAGACAGACACGCACACGAAATTCCTCTCTTATTCAGTTCGTTCTTGTTAGATTCTATTAGTGCGACGAGGGCATATGACTAAGACTATACCATCCTCCGGGAAACTATTGTTCCCGATTGTATAGAACTCTCGACACAACGACGGAAGTAGCTGGAAGATAAGCGATTTACCAAAGCCCGTTGGCAATGTAGCAAACACATCACGGCAATAAATCAACTGAAAAGGGCATTTTGATGTTTATTGAGTTTTGTAATACCAGTAAAAAATTTCAAAACCGAATTAACCGCGTTGTTGAAATCCTCTCGCAAAGCTAAAGCATATTTACGCCAGACTATGTTAAATATAATCAACAACAGCAATGTTTGTGTACGCCTGTACTGACTCTGAACGATATTATCATAAAGGACATACGGTTCAAACAACTAATGAAAGTCATTGTTTTAACAAGTGCATGTTGTTAATCAATTAACGCCCAGCTTGCATTGTCGTGTATCCCTCATTATCCCCCTTCGAGCGTGGAAGAACCTCTCGCACCCACTTCAAGAAAAAAATAGATGCTAGCAAGGGGACTATTATATGAAATTACAAAATGATAGTTCATTGTTCGTCGGGTTCGATTTTCTTGAAACTAAATGAAGTGTTTTCATGTTTTTAAAACAAAACGTATTTAGTTGTCGATGAACTGTAAATCGCCAAAATAATCGTTGAAAACCGTGGTTTCAAAAGCGTTGCCTTATGGCTCAAGCAATGTCGAAAAATATTTAAAAGTAATTGTGAGCAGTAAGTATTAAAAAGAGTACTGAACTCCATTTGTATTATAAAACAGTTGAAATATTTTCAGAATATAGCTATTGAATTTGAGTCTGACTTCATCTTTTATGTTTTGTTTTGGCTTGCACAACAACGTTTAAAATTTATTTTTGACGTCCATCGCGACCTAGCATCCATAGTAGGCAGACGTGTTTTATTTAGCTACGTAAATATGACACTGAATCAGAATGATGCTTTATCTAAGCCAGTTTTGTTTGTCACGAGCAAAGGAACATTCAGGTGGCTTGATCATTTTGAAGAACTTGAAACGTTTTGCTATGAACCTCTAAATGTTGAGTCAAAATGGCTGTCGCCCGGAGGCGGTTGCAAATCATTTGAAGACAACGACATTATTATCAGATGGTACTCATCAAACAACTCGCTAATAGTTAAAGGATCGAACAAACTTAAATTGATCGCTAAACCACTGCATTTACAAGATGACGATTTTAGCTCAGCCTCAAGTCAAAGAAATGTATCAACAGTGATTTCAGGAAGACGGCTGACATGGGAGTCGTAGGGAGTGCTTCCTCATGTTACCAAAGTCGTGGAGAAATTTCAGCTTATTCTACACAGGCAGGATCTAAATATCAGAAGCGCTGAACATACTTTTACGGGAAAGAGATCCACGGTGACCGGTTTAGCGAGTGCAACGCAAGACTGGTTTGGAACCTAGCAGTCATTGTTACGGTGTCCATATTCTATTCCTGGATTTTCGTAAGCCATTTGACCTTGTCGAACACTGTTTGAGAAGTCGACTGACATGGGAGTCGTAGGGAGTTCTGAAAGATCGACCCAGAGTCTTCTCTCAGGTCAAACTCCCAGGTGTGCTGTCTATGCCTAGTCAAGCGATCGTGGGTGTCCTCATGGCGGAGTCATTTCGCCAACACTCTATTATGGTTAATGATATATTGAAGATTGCACCCCATTCGACCTGGCCGTTACCCCTTGCAAATATGCCGATGATTGCACCCAATACGAACTGGTGGCGATCAACTCTACCAGCCATATGCAAGAGGTTATGAACAACCTGGAGACGTGGACCACAAGTGTCAAGATGAAGTTAAACGCAAGTAAAACTAGAGATATGTGGATCAGTTTCAGGAAATCTTGTCCGAGCCCTGAACCTATCAAAGCAAATGGAACTGAACTTGTTGACAGGGTGGGTTAGGCACATAGGTCAGGAGGCAGATCATTAATGAGGTATGGACTAATACCGGCTGCTTAAATCGCCATTTGTAAGCTCACAGTCTACCTCGGTCTGCTCTAATGTAACCAGTCACTGAAAAATCCTGATAAGGGAGTGAGCTGAGTAATATATGTATGTAACTTGAGCGGGTATATAGAAGTATGTAAATTGTGTGGGGACACGTGCAGAATGACTTAATTTAATTTAATTTAATTTAATTTAATAACTTTGCCGTTACATAAATTACAAATTCTGGCAGGGTTCCCACAACAGCATAACGCCAATTACTGCGACCCAATAATAATATCTAACAAACAATGACAAATTAACAGTTAGACAACTAAACAAGTATGCATGCAAACCAACAAACTTACGTTCTATAACGCACTACAAAAAATTAATGTATTAATAACAGCAAGACGCTGGATATGCAAGACTACGCACAGAGTTGCATTTAAGACATAGTTTTAAGTGTTCGAGGATTATCAGGGTCATAATTGAGCTCTAATGACTGATAATAGTATTTTAATAAAATTCTTTTGAAAATGATAAGGCTGTCCATGTCGAAATGAAGTTTATCAACAAGTCCGTTCCATAGACGACAAGCTCTTACAAAGAATGATTGTTGGTAGGTAGTGGTTTTGCTTTTGCGTATAACATATTTCACGGTGTTGTTGGATGATGATCATGTCGTTCTGTGTGTTACACGGGTGACGAGAAGAGCAGACGTTTCTACGAGGCCATAGGTGACGTTTCTACGAGGCCATGGGTGATGTTTCTACGAGGCCATGGGTGATTTTAAAGACGAGGGTCAAGTCTAGATATTCGTGCCAGTATGATACAGGAAGAAGAAGAAGGGAAACTAATCTTGTCCTATAGTCCACGTCTGTCGAAAATGGCAAATTTAAAATGAATTTTGTTGCGCGTCTCTGAGTTCTTTCCAACATGTTGATGAGATCGATCGCCTGTTTTGCCCAAATCTGTGATCCATAGCCGAAATGAGAGCGAACCAGTGCAAGATACAGTGATCGTCTTGGTATTATATCTGTCACAAACATAGTGTTTCTTCTGATGTAGCCCAGTAGTTTACCTGCTTTCGACACTTGTTGGCGTACTTGCACTTTCCACGTGAGGTTTGACGATACGCAAAGTCCAAGATCCCTTTCGGTGTCCGTCGTATCCAGTTGCTGCTCGTTCAACATGTAAGTTGACGTGATCGGTGTAATCTTCCTTGTTATTTGCTGCTGTTTACACTTCGATTCATTGAACGTCAAACCCGATATTGATGGCCAGTGTTCTAAGTGTCTGAGATCGTTTTGGAGTAACACCGCATCGCTTTGACATTTGATCGCCGAGAATAGCTTCGTATCATCAGCAAACATTGCTACTTTGCTGGTTGTTACTGAATCGGGAAGGTCGTTGACATATAATAAAAACAGAACTGGTCCAAGAATGGAACCTTGCGGCACACCTGATGATATAGGAAGTGTGTTCGATGTAGCACCACGTACTGTGACGCGCTGACCACGACCGGTTAAATACGAAGAGAACCATTTCAGCAAGCTACCTCTACAGCCGAAATTCCTCAATTTGTTAATTAGTTTTCTGTGATTGATCCGATCAAAAGCTTTAGACATATCGAGATACTTAAAATGGAACACTCACGTTTACGACATTTTGAGCATGGCTGGACGGATGTATTACCTCCGAGAATGCAGGAGGGCAAAACTACCCACGGAAGTTCGTTTATAAACTTATCGTACCAATATTCGACCTCTAATAGAGTACGTTTCCCCTACATTCGGGGAGGTTTGTCTGCCTATCTTTCTACAGAACTGCAGAGAGTGCAGAACAGGTGTCTAAACATAATAGGTCTGCCTAGAAGCACTCTTCCTTCACCATTGAAACATAGGAATGCTCTCACCATTAGGGAATATAAGAACATCATTAAATCAAACATTCATCCTTGCAAGCGCTTAGAAGCACCTACAATGCACAAACACAATTTAACCAGATACGAGTCCTTCTATCGCGCACTATAAATCGGTACCAGTCTTCGTTTATAGCCAGAGGGGCCAGACATTATAATAAGCTGGTGAATTAGTTGTTATATACGGATTACTTTTTGTACATTTTTATCATACAATTAGCACAATTCTTAGTCTTTTGAACTTTGCTGTTTTGTAACCATTTTAGCTTTTTTAAAAGTTGTAATACTGCTGTAATTCTCTTGCCAAGAGTAGTAATTAAAGTCTGTTATTATGATACCGAAGGTCGAGCTAGCCTGTGTTCCAGTCCACTACAACGGAGTAGTGGACTGGAACACAGGCTAGCTCGACCTTCGGTAGCATAATACCGGTGTAGTCAACACACAACACAACGGTGTAGTGGGCTGGAACACAGGCTAAGGTCGAGCCCAATATTGAAGTCCAGACTTAATATTTTGCCATATTGGGTGACGATGAATTCAATGTTTTATTATATGGAACAAAAAATGGTTTTTGTAAGCGATAATATAATACAGCCAAAATAATACACATGGGCGGAGAATTCGGTTAAATAACTAAACAAAAGATTTAGTAACCTCTGGCCGGTTGTATAAAACTCTTAACTACTTTTTAACCACTATTTTGTATTTAAATAGTAGTAGACTTTAAAATACGCGATTTTCATGGGCTAACTTTCGCACTAACTGTAGTTAACTTTAACTCTTTCTCGACAGGTCCCTATTGAATAAATCACTCATGATTTACTCATTTTTGCGGTTCATATCTTCAGTTCGGTAAATGCTACGTGGACCAAAATACCACCATTCGATTCAGTGTAACGATAGCTACTCATTCCTATCGATAGATTTAGTGAATGGCAACATTATAGCAATTTATGAGCTTTGAAAGTCAAACGAGCTCGTATATGATCAAATTACGCAATATTACTGACAAATTATAAACATAAACATACCTTTCGCCGAATATAACTTCGTCCCATTGAGACGTATGCTCATTCTGATCTTCTTGATGAATTAAGAGCGAGTCTCTACAAAAATCAAACATACCGCGGCAAGGCTCAAAATTTTAAATTCGCTCTACTTTTGAATTTAAGTTAACTATGACAAAGTATGAAACGTCATATGGTTAGTTTTTAAAAATACTCTTTTGTTTATGAAAAAAAGGCAAAAAAATATTTCAGGTGTGAGGACCGATTTTCGCAATCGAAAAATGACCGAAATTGCGTATGTTTACTTAATCCTGGTATCCAAACCCTAAATCCAAATAGCCTTATTATACTTTCTGCTAAAGATACATCACTCCCGCGTTTATTAAAATTGGTTTTATGATAATTGAACAACTGAACACATTTGTGCACAATAAAGAGCGACGGGTACTGATCTTTATTGTTTGTCATTGCGTGTAAAAAGTGACAGATTTCTCCATTTGCCATCCTTTCAAATCTTATGAGATTTTGCACAAGCACTATTGGAAAACTGCTCTTTTCAGAAATGTATAATTTATTTTGGGCAAATAAATTCACGCGCTACGAGAAAGAGTTAACTTTGGTCATTAAATATGCAAAAATCACTGTTTGGCAATTGACCATTTGCGTAATAGACTAAATTTTGATCTCAACAAGTCTAGACAAAAATTTCATCACAGCTTGAAAGAGCATCACAAAATTAGTAATCAAATGACAGCCTCAAAGTGTATCGGGCTGTCAATTTCCCGTTTGTAATCTAAAATGACTGAAAATTGCAAACTTTGCAGGGCTATATTATCCGCATTTTACAACATTTTGCAACGAAATTTTGGAATATTACTAATTTTGTGATGCTCTTTCAAGCTGTGATGAAATTTTTGTTTAGATCAAAATTTAGTCTATTACGCGAATGGTCCGATTGCATGACTAAAAACCCTTTGAAATAAACTCGCTTAAAACATCATTGTTCTTCGCCTTTAGTTTAGAGAATTTGAAGAAAACATAAATATACATACCGGCCTTGAATGAAAAAATTTTCTTTGAGCTGTTCCACTTTTGGAGTTTATACCAGGAGTTTAATATTGTCGACCGTTCGGTTGTTTACATCTCCGCCTTATACATCGACTCAAAGTTCTTGGAATCCAATCTATCAGAAATCAGCTAACAATTCACACAACTTCCATTCGTGTTCAAGTAATGCCACTGCGATGTATTACTGTAATGTTGTCATTTCTTTTTTAATATTTTTTCTCTATTAAGTGGATTATTGCGAATTGAGGTTTTTTTTATTGCTGTAATTTACTTTGGATTTACAATTATTAATATTCTTAAAAACAAACAGTCAAAATTAATGGTATTTTTTCTCTATTAAGTGGATTATTGCGAATTGAGGGTTTTTTTATTGCTGTAATTTACTTTTATTTACAATTATTAATATTCTTAAAAACAAACAGTCAAAGTTAATATTTCAGAAATTCTATTTTATTTTTATACTGACATATTGAAAAAGCTAAATGTTTACATTATAGGTGGCGGGCTTCCTGTCGATTTGGCGGAAGTAATGCCACTGCGATGTATTACTGTAATGTTGTCATTTCTTTTTTAATATTTTTTCTCTATTAAGTGGATTATTGCGAATTGAGGGTTTTTTTATTGCTGTAATTTACTTTTATTTACAATTATTAATATTCTTAAAAACAAACAGTCAAAGTTAATATTACAGAAATTCTATTTTATTTTTATACTGACATATTGAAAAAGCTATTTGTCACCAAATGTTTTCATTATAGGTGGCGGGCTTCCTGTCGATTTGGCGAAAGTAATGCCACTGTGAGGCATTACTTGTATTTTTAATATTGTTTTTATGTGGATTATTGTCGAAAAAATGCGATCCGCACGCCGCTTATGCTATTGTTATCATGATTAATTAATATCCGTCACGAGCACCCCATAACAATTAAACTTCCTTGAAAAGTCAGCATATTGGTATTTGAACTGACAACTGATCAGAGTGGTTTCGAAGGAAATGGTACTCTCTAGACGCTACTATTTTGGTCCAATAGTAGGCACGGATTGGCACAGATTATTCATTTGATCGCAGAGATATCAATACTGCAGTAGCATTGCTTCCGCCAAATCGACAGGAAGCCCGCATCATCTAATTATAAATGTAAATACTTTTTTCGATATCTCAGTACAGTATATGAATAAAATATAATGTCTGCAATATTAAACTTGACTCTTTCTGCATGGCTTATTTTTTTTTATTGGCTTAGCTATAACAATTGTAAATGGAATACGAATGGAATACGAAGTTGACTGTGTAAATTGTTAGCTGATTTCTGTTAGCTGGACTCCTTGAACTTTGAGTTTAATATGTAGTTAAGTTAGGGATTAAACTCCAAAAGTGGAACAGCTCAAAGGAACTTTTTGCATTCAAGGTATGTATATTTATGTTTTCTTGAAATTCTCTAAACTAAAGGTGAAGAACAATGATGTTTTAAGTGAGTTTATTGCAAGGGGTTTTTAGTCACGCAATCGCCAAACAGTGATTTTGCATATTTAATGAACCAAAGTTAACGTTATCTTTCTCAAAACGTGTGAATTTATTTGCCCAAAATAAATAATACATTTCTGAAAAGGGCAGTTTCCCAATAGTGCTTGTGCAAAATCCCATAAGATTTGAAAGGATGGCAAATGGAGAAATCTGTCACTTTACATGCAATGACAAACATTAAAAATCAGTACCCGTCGCTCTTTATTGTGCACAAATGTGTTCAGTTGTTCAATTATCATAAAAACACTATTAATAAACGAGGGAGAGATGTAGCTTTAACAGAAAGTATAATAAGGCTATTTGGACTTAGGGTTTGGATACCAGGATTAAGTAAACATACGCAATTTCGGCCATTTTTCAATTGCGAAAATCGGTCCTCACAGCTGAAACATTTTTTTGCCTTTTTTCATAAACAAAAGAGTATTTTTAAAAACTAACCACATAACGTTTCTCACTTCACCATAGTCAACTTATATTCAAAAGTAGAACGAATTTAAAATTTTGAGCCTTGCCACATATTTCTCATTTTGTTTGATTTTTGTAGACAGTCGCTCTTAAGAAGTTAAAAATAACACGTATAGTGTTATTTTCAAGCTTCTATCTTTAAAGTTCAACATTTAGTGCCGAATTTTGTATTTCTGCTCCGAATATGCGTTAATCCCAACCGGAAATACGACGAAAAACCGTCAAAACAATGCTACGCTTGTATCGCGTAACTCTGGAAATGCCAGAAATGGATTCTACAGGCCAAAGTGCACCCATACGCGTGAGTTTTACGTCATCCCGGCTAAAGGGAGCTCCTTATTGGCCAAGTATTACGTAATACACGCGCGTGCTAGTAAAACCCGATACTTTAAAAATTCAAAATAAATATTTCTAGTCGGCGTATACATACGAAACTTTCTACACGAAAGCGCTTGAATACATAGAGTATTTTACACTTATATCCTTTCAGGAAATGACACCAAAGTTTAGAATATATTCAACTTTTTCTCATTTTCTCGTTTGAATGTTTGGCGAAGCGGTGAGTATAAAATATATGATTGTTTCGGTTTGTGTAATGTTTTGACGGCCCTTGACCCCCCCCCCCCTTTCGAAAGGTTATATTGTGAGGATTTCAATGGTGGGATTTATTTAAAAGGGGGGTAAATACTTGTCGAGATGTTTATATTAGAAAAATTGAATCGAAATTTAATACGAAACAGGTTGTCGAGAAAGAGTTTTAACTACTTTTTTATACAACTGACCTCTATAGGGTTTTCAAAAACAATTCTAAATTAAAAAAACTCAATTCCATGTAGTAAGTATGTTGAGTCTAGTAGTTTTTTCTACCCAGTATGACTACATTCCATGTAGTAACTGGGTAGAAAAACTGTGTCTAAATAATGTTCCAAATCCTTTTCATTACATTGCAATATCGTTTGTTTTGTGTTTGAAATTGACAAAACATCTGGAAAGGTTTGTTCAACCTGGGAAAAAACGGTAAGCTACTGATCAACATATATGCTCCTGTCCTACAACGTAAAATGTCGGACAGACACGTGACCTTATTGAAGACTCGTGATTGGTCAATTCATGTGAGCATTTAATAACAGCTCATTTAGTCTTATAGAGTGAGTAGCGAAAGTAAGATGGATTTTCGATTGGAGAATACATAAACGTATCAGACGAACTTTCTTTCATCTGTCTGTAATTAAAATCTGACCATTCTCTTTTTTAATTTAGGAAATGACAATCCAATGCTTGTGTCTGCTTCAAACGATGGAACTTTAAAGATTTGGGATGTAAAAAAGCATCAAGAAATTCGTACCCTCAGTAGTCATAAGGGCGGTGTTACTTGTGTTGCTGTGAGCCCAGATACGAGGCATATTATCTCCGGGGGCGATCGCAACGATATGATTGTAAAATTGTGGTGTTTCCGCACTGGGGAATTACTTTCCTGCTTTGAAGGTCACACCAGTGATATCTGGTGAGTTCATAGACCTTGGCATCTCTGTGACAGCGGTACCATTTTCCCAATAGGGACCTTTAGCATGTAGGACGGCAACGCGACGAGACAAAATCCTTCGAATAAATAACTTTAAGGAAAACTTGTCGTGTATCATTCGTTGTACGAATTTAATACAGTTTTAGGAGGTTAAGAAGGAGGTTGATATTTGAGAAGACTTCTATTAAGCCAGTTTGCCGAGTACCACTTCTCGCGCGTTCTATACAAGACGTAAAAATCATTAGTTTGCTATTGTGAACAGAGCGAAGACGACGTGTAAAACTCCCAAGGGGCTTTTAATTATTCTTTTAATATCCCTATCTTGAATTTCATTGTATCAATACCCGTCGCCGTCATTCTAGCTAAAGGTCCCTAATATGCATTTGTCAGATTATAATTTCACCTCAGTGGGTGCTTCCAGTTTTACTCTAGATCTACCTGGGTACTCTGGCTGGTTTCTTCCACGAGTAACAATAAAGACCAACACAATTTGGTTTCCCTCTGCAGTACAACTGGGCGTATTGGCGATTGACTTTTACTAGATCTCTAGGGAGAAGAGTTTAAAAGTGAAAAAAATATCCAGTCTAAATGAAGTGACTTTAGTTGAGGTTTTCATCTGTAGTAACAGTTGATTAATACAAAATTACCCTTAATCGACCTCTGCCAGGGCAGTTTAGAACGGATGGACCTATCTTGTATAAATAAAGTTAGTTTTTAGTTAAGTTCGTTCAGTAGAAACACTATAGGCTAACAAGGATGATGCTCTTGGCACCTCTGGAGAGAAAAGTCGACAATCAGCTTCTTGCATTTCAGCTGTGTGTCAATAACTTCTGATGGGTCCAAGGCGTTATCCTGTTCTCGTGATGCGAGTTTCAGAGTTTGGGATTTGGACATTAGTGCACACTTGAGACAAGACATGTCACGTGGCCATTCAGACAGGGTCACTGACATTGCAGTGACACGTGATGGCTTGAGATGTGTTTCCACTTCCGCAGACAGTTCTTTCAGAATTTGGAAATGTGACACAGCAGAGTCAAAGGAATGTTTTACTTTCAGAGGTATAGTCAGAATTGTCTGTTTGAGCCAGTGTTCTTTTTTAATCGTGACGAAATTTTACGTATTCATTTTAAGCCGGTTACAAACAAGCTCGTTTTCTATGATAAGTTTTCAAATGACAAGCTTTATTTGCCCGCCTGTAAAGGCAACTTTGCAAAGTTTTTTTTTTTTTTTATGACAAGTACAGATGTAAATTGTCTTATAAAAACTTGGCAATGTTTAAATTTTGCTCGTCCATGGGTTAACAAAAGAAAATTTGACAAAGTAATTTGAGCACTTCCATGCAGTGACCCGATAATAATACGGTTGAAAGGTTTTTGTAGATGCTCAAAATTTCCATCCAACAAAAACCCTTCTCAATCGTTAGTTCTATCGAGCGAGATGCCCAAAATAACGATACTGATATATTTTTGTATTAGGTATGTCGTAAAAGACGAGTAACAGGTTCGTTTGGTTAAATATATTGAAAGAAAATAGTACGAAACGCTGTGTTTACGAGTTAAAAATGGCACTGAAATAAAAAAACTGGTCATGTGACCAAGGCACAGCTTATCCAAACTAATTGTCTAAATATCAATGTTTCTAATCTTGTATTATTCAACAGTTATCGTGGCGGCCAGACAACCAAAAAGTTGTCTTAGAAAATTTGTTGAACATACACGCGCGATTAGCACACAAGCTTTTGATAGAAAACTTGCTCGTCTGCATGTAACTGGCTTTATTTCCTGACAACTAATGATATGAGCGCAAAAGAAAATCGTTAAGATACCGTTGCAGTGGAGAACTGGCTTTTCTTATACGAGACAAGAATAATCCGTCTGACGGATCCCTTTTAACGAAGCCATGTTTTATAAGATATTGAGTAGGGTTAAAAGACTGCTTGATATTGACACACTGCTGGGTAAGATAACGGAGTTTATGCAACTTTAACCATAGATTTAAGCAGGAATGCCCCGGTCATAGGGAAAATATGCAGATGATGTTTACACTGTTTGCTTTGTTTTGGTCTACATAATTTTTCTATTATAAACAATCTTTGTCTCAAAGTTAAATCTAAGATTTGTGGCTGTGTAAACGTATCACAATTACTTTGACTAGGCTTGATTTTGGCTTGGCTCAGGCCAAGCTTAGCAGTTTGAACAAGGTTAGAAGTTTGAACGCGGCTTTTGTATAAACACAAGGCACAAAGCGCAGTCTGGCTAGAATAGTGCTATTTATTATATAGTATGATGGTCCTAGGAACAAACCATACGGTTTATTTTTCTATATGCACATAGATTGATCACCGTGCAGAAAATAAATTACTTTTGTAAATTTGTGTATTTACGCAGATTGTTCGTCTTGACCGACGTTTGCATGTGTTTTGCGTTAATACACATGCAGACTAATGATGATGCAGACATACTATCTATTCCCTTCCCTAAGTTTCCAGACGGTTATTAGGGTCCTATAAGATTAATTTAACGTCTTTTCACGAATACCTTAAACAGCAAACCGCTAGCGTTCGTGTCACTACATTCCCGCGGTTGAATTTTCCGGTTTACAACTTGTCCAAATCGTTTTGACGTAAGAGTAATAATCCCTGGAAAATATCAAGCTATATAGCATAGTAATAACCAGAATAAAATTAATCTATCTAAACGCTGATGTTGAGCTCCAGCTCTTTCATGAATCTTTGAACCGATATTCTTTTCTTCGCTTCTTGCGGTCGGTTCAACATAATGGCTTCTAGGAAGGCATACACATTCGACACACCTGGTAGATATTCTATATTAAAGATGTAGAAGCTACCAACTGCCATAGGTAGCCAGTCATGGGTTGTTGCTGATAAATCCAGCAATCGTTGTCTAATTCCCTTTGTAATCCATGGCTTAGAGGATCTCTTTATCATACGTTTGGAAATTGATTTCACTGGGGCATGTTTATTTATCAGTTTATTTGCCTTTTATGACAAAGTGAATAAACTGATAAATAAACATGCTCCAGTGAAACCAATTTCCAAATGTATGACAATGAGATCCTCTAAGCCATGGATCACAAAGGGAATTAGAAGGTCTATTAATATAAAAAATAAGTTATTTTACTCTGGAGATAAATTAAAGATAATTATAAAATATATCGAAATAAAATAACAAAGCTAACGCGTATTAGTAAAAAAATATATTATCATGAATATTTTAATAATAATCTTAAAAATATGAAGAACTTTAAATTAATCTGATAAATCGTAAAAAGAAGAAGCATAAATTGATTACACAACAATATGGACAAAGGTCTATTTTCGTGTGGTATTTTCATTGACCTCAAAAAAGCGTTCGACACAGTTGATCACTCCATACTTCCAAATAAATTAGAACATTATGGTTTTCGAGGTATCATAAATAACTGGTTTCAGTCTTATCTAACTGATCGAATACAGACAGTTCAAATTGGAGAAAATATATCATCAAAAGAAACAACTAGATTTGGAGTTCCACAAGGCTCAGTCTTAGGACCTTCACTCTTCCTGATTTATATAAATGATATTCACACATCATCTAAAGTAAAGTATTAAAATTTTATTTGTTTGCTGATGACACAAATTTATTATGCGCAGATAAAAAATTAAAAAATCGTGAAGCAGTAGGATTGGTGGGAGTCTGCGAATGGCTACATGCAAATAAATTAATCATTAATTTAAATAAATCGAACTATGTTGTTTTTCGTCCTAATTCAAAATGTGTTAGCTATCAACTTAGTTTAAAATTGTTTGATTATAGTGTAAACAAATTAATTGAAATTGAGTGTAAAGAATTCGTAAAATATATTTAGGACTTGATATTTGTTGTGTTGGTGCAATGTACTCAGGTGAATATGATGCTTGTGTGATGTTACTCTGAGTGTATATCCACACCGGCTAGGCTTCCTACCGTGGCCAGGCATATTTTTCAAGCCTACCCGGTGTGGATATACACTCAGAGTAACATCACACAAGCATATTTAGGACCTATTATTGATAATAAATCATCGTAACGTGGAAACACCACATAAATAATATTTCTTCTAAAATAAGTAAGTCAGTAGGAATAATTACGAGACTTAGGCACTTTGTGCCTCTTTCAACTCTACTTAATATATATCGCTGCTTAATCCAACCATATTTAACGTATGGTATAATTGTATGGGGTCGAGCGCCTTCCGAAACGGGCTTTGCGGCTAATGAACTTTAAAAGTAATAAAGAACATGCCATCCCTCTCTTCACTAATTTAACGTTTTACCCTTGAATATGATTTATTATAAATCGGTTTGTAATTTAATCTATGATGTCTCTAACAGCTCTTGTCCACCAACAATTTCCGATTATTTTAATCAGTCCAGAAATATTCATACCCATAAGACTAGGCATAGTGCATCTAATAACTTTTACATTGAATATTCAAGACTAAAATAAAATAAAATGCCAAGTAGGGTGAAATAACTATCAAACGATAGATAAATGTCCCTTCTACAACATGTGATGTGTGTCTTCTCGAATTTGTGCGATTTCGGATGAGCAATATTATTTTGAATGATAAAAATCGTTGTTGAAGCTTGCACATATTAAAATGTCAGAAGAAACAGGTATGTCCTTAATCTTTGTGTTTAAGCTCTAATTTGATGTATAATTTGTATTGTGAAAGCCTCCAAGTCACTCCCTAATTGTATTTGAATATTAGGTATTTCAAAGTATGGAAGCGACTTCGCTAAGTAAAAATGTTGTGTGATTGCCGGAATACGAAGGATTTAGTCGCTCTCGCGATGGAAGAAATGAAACCTGCCTGGTGAAGCAATCAGCATAAGATTTGCTATCGTTTATTATTAAAACCTTTTGAAGTATGTGGTAAGTTACTAAGTTTGACTTGGGGTAAAGGGGAAAGGGTAAGGAAAATGCTGTATCCCCTTGACCAGAATGACAGAATCTCATGCCAGATCTAGATATGTCGAATTTGAAACGAAAGGTCACAAGATTTATGAATAGCGGTCTGGCATTTGAGTCCTATTCGGCCAGTCAGAGGCAAACATCTTGTCGAGCCCGAGTGCCAAAGCATGGTATAAGTCATAACCTACTTTAATAATGAGATTCTAAATGTTAAAAATCAGATGTGGTACTGTAAAATAAAAATTACTTTTGTGGTTTTAACAAATAAACTTGTTATTGAATTAAATGAGGCCTAAGAAAAAACAGGTAAATCTTGGTTGAAGATGTGCTTGTGGTTGCAGGCGATTAGTTGAAAAACATGTGACCTTGAATGTAAAAGTTGATAGCAGTTGAACGGCTTATTGAAAAACATAACCGTCATAATCAGAATATATTTGTTGATACTAAAACACTGTTTTATTTTTAGTGTGCATTGAGATATACCATGGATTTGCAGTACCAACAGAATTGGATCCAACAAATATGGCTTTCATATATCTCTAAGACAGTATGTAGAAAATGAACTAGCAGTCCAGCTTCAAATACATAGCTCAGAGTTTTGTCTCGTTTTGGGAGGAATCTAACCCCTGAGTGGATTGGTAGTTTACTATTAATCGAAATTAATGTACCCAAGCCTTCTAATCGTTCGTTTATTCGCGTTCAACAACAAAACAACAACAACAACAACAACAACAACAACAACTACAACAACAACAACAACAACAACAACAACAACAACAACAACAACAACAACAACAACAACAACAACAACAACAACAACAACAACAACAACAACAACAAGCTAGCCAAAATCAAACAAACCAGCCTAAAAGATTGGCAAGAAGTGAGCTCCCGATGCATGATCAGGATTTTTTTGGGAAACGGAAACGAGACTTAAATTGGCAAAATTACCTGACATTTGTTCGTGCGACAATGAGACAGTAAACACCATTCCTGTAATCTCGAAACGAATTAATAAGAAATATAATGTGCGATATTGACATAATCCCATCCGGCCAAATAATTTAATTAAGATTCCTATTAAACATTTGCCGGGTTCCCAACATACGTTCGTTCCCTCCCTAATGCTATCTAATGTTATGTCATTGGTGCCCAAAATAGATGAATTAAGCGAAGTTATCCTCAATAGTGATGTGGAAATAGCTTCTATTACCGAGACGTGGCTCAGAGATCACGTCGATCATAACGTTGTTAATGTGTCAGGATTTAGGTTGGTTCGCCTTGACAGAATTAACAGTCAACACGGGGGAGTCTGTATGTACGTAAGGAATAATATTCAATGCAACATTGTACAAGATCTTTTAGACAGCAATTTTTAAATCATCTGGGTTCATATTCGCCCTACTCGTCTTCCAAGGGGAATTCCCTGCATAATTATTGGAACGTTATACCATCCTCCAAGTGCTAACAATCAAGAAATATTAGATCATTTATTAAAATGTCTATCAACAATCGAATCTCGTTTTCCCAATAGTGGCGTCATCCTGCTTGGCGACTTTAACAACTTAAACGTCTCTAGAATGAAACGTAACTTTACGCTTAAGCAAATTGTGAACTTTCCCACATGTGGCCGGAACACTTTGGACCTCATCCTAACTAATTTGAAAGAATATTATGCTTCCCCCATTAAACTCTCTCCCTTTGATCTTTCTGATCACGTAACGGTTAAAGCTTTACCGCTCTCCCGAACAACAACATCCAAGTCCAAGTCCAAAACAAGCATTAAAACAAGGAACATTAGACCAACGAAACGTTTAGCGATGAGAACATATTTGGAAGCTGTTGACATTCAAACCTTATAGATAATAAGATCTCTTGTGAGGAAAAAACTATGATGTTGGAAAAAATCGTTAGCACAGGTATGAATTCCCTTCTTCCAATGAAGAGGAAAACAATCATAGCTAACGAGCCCCCATGGCTCAATGAAAACCTTAAAAAGATGATACGTGCGCGCCAGGAAGCCTTGTCCTTGGGTGACATGGCTACCTTCTGATTACTTGGGAACCAAGTTAATCGAGAGAGGAAGTCAAGCCGTGCAAAATGTTACGATTCAGGAGTTAAACAATTGAAAGAATGTGACCCTTCCGGTTGGTGGAAGGAAATTAAGAAGTGGGATGTCTGCAGTGTCACGTGACAGTACAGTTTCAATTCTACAACTTGTAGTTTGTGACCCAGTCGAACCGACTCCAGTTAATATTGCCAATGTTATTAACAACGCATTCCTTGCCTCAATGAGTGACATTTCTCCATTATCTCCCAACGCCCGTCTTGCCACCGATAATGAACCCCCATTTACCGTCACAGAGCAATCAGTTTTTCAGAAATTGTTAGCACTAAATCCAACCAAAGCAACTGGGCCACATGGTATTCCCTGCTGGCTTTTAAAAGAGAACGCCGATATTCTTGCACGACCAGTAATGTCGATTACATATATACATACTTACATACATTAACTGTTCATTCTTGGAGTCTCGCTTACCTCCATGGAAAGAAGCCGATATAGTACCAATACCTAAGCAAAAACCTGTCAATAATAATAATATAATAATAATAATAATGAATTTATTGCAGCATATCCATAGAAAATGTGGCTCTTCATCTACAATATCTACAATACAAATTAGGTATAAAAAGTACATAATCATATATATATATATATATATATATATATATATATATATATATATATATATATATATATATATATATATATATATAATATATAGTCACATATGTTCCTAATATCAGCAGGTAGTTTATTAAATGTAATGGCTGCTGAATATTTACAGTCCCTGTTTCTCTCGGTACTTCAATAACTGGAGCACAGGAAGATCGTAGATTATAAGCGTTCACAGTACGTAAGGAGAGAGATAAATATTCGGGAAAAGTTTCATTATATAATGCCTTATGGGTGAGTTTCAATAAGTTGAATTCTATTCTACCGGCAATGGGAAGCCAATTTAAGCACTCTAAATCCTCCATCTTGGCGAATTTCCGTAGTACGAAGCCAGCACAAACATCTTGCAGGCACTGCAACCGTTTCGGCTGGTACTGTGGTAGTGGATGAAACACAGTGCAGGCGCAATCGATTTTGGCAAGCACTAGACTTTCTGCAAGTGTTTTCCTCACGTGAAAAGGAGCCAAGTTCTTAAGTCGTCGTAGCACATTCAGTATCCCATAGCAACTGGACAACAAGTTATTAACTTGATCTCCCCACGCGAGATGTTGGTCAATATACACACCAAGCAACTTGGTATAAGAGATTCTCTCTAGTGGGGTGTCATCACACATAATGGGCAGTAGTCGTTCATCCAGTTTATGTACACGTGACATCTGAAGGGTGGAAATAAGCATCCATTTTGTCTTTGATAAATTTAGTGCAAGATTGCATCCCTCAGAGTATTCACGTAGTCTGGAAATGGCACCATTCACCTCATTTGCGCACAAGTGTAGATCTGATGGTTTACTGTGGATGAGAAAAGTTGTGTCATCAGCGTATTGAAAACAGGGACATTGGATTTATCCTGCAGATCAGCCACGTAGAGATTGAAGATTACTGGTCCTAGAATGGACCCCTGTGGAACACCGAACTGAACTGTGGCTAGACTAGACTGTTTGTCATCAATTTGGACAAATTGTTTCCTGTTAGATAGATAGTTTATCATCCAGAGAAGAAAGTCCTTCGAAAAACCCAAGTTGTGCATCTTCATTAAAACAGTTTTAAACTCAACAGTATTAAAGGCCTTGGAATAGTCTGCGCACACCATCAAGGTCACTTCGCCCTTCTTTGATGCTGGAATTAGGGCATCGCGGATGCCAAGCCAGACAGTTATCGTTGAATGTCCCTTTCGAATTCTGATATAGTCGAACATAAAAGAGCCTGATCATCGATGTACTTAAAAAGCTGATTTAGGACCAGGCGTTCAAATACTTTCGACATTGCAGGTAGAATTGAGATCGGTCGAAAGTCCGAGTCACAAGATGGTTGGTTTACTTTTGGGATTGGAGACACACGAGCAGTCTTCCAGGTCTCAGGAAAGTAAGAGTTTCTGATACAAGTGTTAATTATATGCGTTAGAGGCCCTGCTATATCTTGTTTCGCGAACTTCAGAAACTTTGCTGGAATCCGGTCTACACCAGTTGAAGTGTCATTACGGAGCCGATCTATTTCTTGCTCAACTTCCCTTACCGTGACTTGTTGTAAATTGAAAGTATGCCCTTGAGTTGTGTGTTCCTGGAGTGACTGAACAAGTCTAGTAAGATTACCTACAGCATCAGCATCAGATTTACTTCCCAATGTTCTATGACTGGTTGTTATGAAGAATTGATTGAGTTTACCAGGATCTGCCTGAATTGTTTTGTGACTGGGGTTGAGTATGCGATGAATTACCCTCCACACCTCCTTGGGACGTTTAGACAAGAGGGACTTTGTGACAAAACGCCGCTTTGCCTTGCCAATCTCTGATTTGATACGATAACGCACTTGCCTTAATGCATTCCAGGATTTAGCAGTGTTAGTGGCGTGTGCCTCGGCTCTCAACGTATCCCGCTTAATCTTTAGCTCTTGTATCACACATGATTGCATCCATGGTGCGGGTGGGCGTCTCACTTTCACTCTCCGTAGGGGGGGCATGTCTTTCAATACATTCAACAAGAAGAGTGTTCAGCGTCTCCACCATATCCTCTAGCGACTCCAGGCCATACACTACACTCATCGGGAGTTCAGAGCAGTCCTTCTTAAATTCTTCCTCATTAAAATTCGTCTAATTTCTTATCAATTTGTGGCGTGGTTGGTAACGAGGTACACGTACATTTAAACATGTAAAAACGCCGTCATGGTCACTCACAGTGGAGCTGGGTATAATATCGGTTACTGCGACACAATCCGGGTAGTTTGTGATGATGTGGTCTGTCAGTGTTCTCGATGTGGGCGTGACACGGGTCGGCTTAGTGACGTGTTGATGCATGCCAAGGACGTCTAGTACTGATTTATATTGCTTTGTCATGCTGTGAGATGAATTTAGCATATCGATATTTACATTGCCAGTAACATACAATAAACCATCCCAGTCAAGAGACACTTGACCCAATAAACTCTCGAAGCGGTCGAGCCAATCATTACAACTCAGCATACGTTCAGATCTATAAATCACTCCCAATTAGGGCCTTACTATGTTTGTTCCGCCCAGGGATTTCCAACCACAAATGTTCAAAGTCAGTTTGTAGATTTTCGATATCTTTCCTGCGCTTGAAATTGATAGAATTACTAATATATGCACCCACTCCGCCGCCGCGAATCGTGTCATGACTGTTGAAAATAGCCGTATATCCAGAAAGCGTGACATAATCTAATAGCGCGGGATTTTCTTTATGCCAGGTTTCGCTCATAGTGATAATATCCACAGGATAATCACTAACAAGAGTTTGAAATTCATTGAATGAGGAAACCATACTTTGCGTGTTTAGGTGCATAATACTGAGATGTTTGGGGTGGTTCCGCAAAGCTTCAGCAATAAAATCTAACGTTTCTAATTCGGAATCTAGAGTTGAGTTTATCTGTTCGTTCCCTTTTCTTTCTAGTATTTCCAAGTCCTTAATATTGAAGAAAGGTAACTCAGATAATGTGCACTCTGGACATGTCTAACTACGCGGGTGATGAGCTCCGGTGTTTTTGATAAACCAGGAGTTACTATACACGCAGCGGATATGAAATAAGTCAAAACATTTATCACATTCTACACGTTTGTGATTGCGTTTAACGGTTTTCTCACATTGTGGACACTTGACGGTTGTTTGTTTTACCCTTGTTTTCTCGGCTGCGGAGGGACCAGGCTGAGGATGGACATCACCGGCAATCAAAATCAATTGATAGCTGGCAACGCTGTTAGAATAATATGTAACCCTCGATTTCACATATTTCGACTTAGAGACTTTAAAGTTAATTGAGGGCAATTTGCACCATTGTCTTCCCGTTAAAAGGCTTGATACAGAACAAACACTGTTATTGTTGTTATTAAAATAGGGCACAATGGAGACTTCCTTAGAAGCTTGAAGCACTTCAGATATGCAAATTCGGTCATGATTCTCGAAGCGTCTTGATTCTAAAATGGTGTTAGTCAAGAACAAAAACTGTTCTTTTTGTATCAACGATTCATTTCCGACCTTGCCAAAAATATCACTAAATTCCTTGCAACATGTTTGTATCAACAGATGCAGGTTTGATTGTATGATACCAAAAGTTTGACTTCGGCGAGAATAATAATGATTCACTCCGTTAAGCACGGTATAACTACAGAAATCTTTTCTTTCTCGATGAAACACTGCTGCTGTCAAACCCATGAAACAATCATCAATATGCTTCATACTTGATTCGTTAGATAACCGTTCGAAATTTAGAATAGCCCGACATATATTTTTGAATAGATATTTGTCTTCGCCGAGAATAATTCGCTTCATTGAATACAATACGGTTATCAAAAACCTTTCCTTCTGCACGTAATAAGGCTTCTATCAAACGCGTAAAACTGTCAGAGACAGGTTTCGTACATGTTTGTTGAGGTGATGGTTCAGTATTGAGAAATCCACACTTAAAAATAGACTCACAGCGACCAAAGCAGCTGAGAGCCACAAGACACAACCTACTCTCATGGTGACCAAATCAAGACCTAAGACCAATCTCTCTGACCCCGGTACTCTCTAAGGTCGCTGAGGAATACGTAGTTGGGTGTTTTGTAAAACCAGCTGTATTGAAAAAAGTTGACCCACAACAGTTCGGTACATTACCTGGCTTGAATACCACCTATGCTCTTATTAGCATGCTACATAAATGGAACTGTGACACTGATGGTAATAGTGCAACAGTGAGGATTGTATTGTTCGATTTCAAAAAGGCCTTCGATCTGATCGATCATGATATTTTAATTCAGAAACTAGTGTCGTACGAAATTCCAAATAATGTTGTCAATTAGATAATAGATTTCTTGTTGAACCGCAAACAAAGAGTTAAACTCTGCAAAGATTGTATTTCGGAGTGGGGTTCTGTCCCAGCGGGTGTACCGCAAGGAACAAAATTGGGCCCATGGCTGTTTTTAGTCATGATCAACGATTTAAATGTCTCTAACGATGTGATGTGGAAATATGTGGACGACTCAAACATCTCCGAAACTGTTAAAAAAGACGAAGTAAGTCATATCCAATCAACCGTAGATGAGTTCGTACGCAAGTCCAAAACCGAAAAGTTCGTGTTGAATGAGCGCAAATGTAAAGAAATGAGAATTAGTTTTTACGAAATCAGAAAAAGTCTTTCTACCCGTTATGATAAATAACGCCCCCCTTGAAGTTGTCCCAGATGCCAAAATTCTGGGCTTGAATGTATCCGACAACTTAAAATGGAATTATCATGTTAGCGAACTCGTTAAAAATCTTCAAAAAGATTGTACTTCCTAACTCAGTTAAAGCGCGCCAAAGTGGGATGTTTGGAATTGGTACAATTTTTTAAATCCTGCATCAGATCTTTAATTGAATATGCTTGCCCAGTGTATCACGATGGTCTCCCTACGTATCTTTCGAGTGATCTCGAAACTATTCAAAGACGAGCAATGCGAATCATCTACCCAACAGAATCTTACGAAGATGCCTTATTATTATCAGGTCTAACTTCCCTATTCCTACGGCGCCAACAGATTACAAACAAAGTCTTCCTAAATATTATGAACGATGATGCACACAAATTACACGAACTACTACCTGCTAAAACAATATCTCGCTTAATTTACGGAAAAAGACGAAATTCATTAACCCAAGAGTAAAAACGAACCGTTATAGAAATAGTTTTATCATCAGTAATTCAATTAAGGCATAATTAACAATAGTATTAGGCAATCTAAGTATAAACACGATCAGTTCAGGAACTGTTTTAAACAATGAATCATTTTAGAAATAGTTTTTTACCGTAACCTAATGAAGGCATAATTAGCATTCAGCTATTGTATTTTCTAATTTGTACATATATAACGCATAGTGGAATTCTTCAACATGTTTTAAGATCCTCTCTTTTATCAATTCTTGTAAATTTTACTTAATTCAGCTTACGGCTGCAATGTAAATTTCAATAAACTATCCATCTATCTATCTAAAACTGTATCTTTGATTAGTGCAAATATTATGTTTTTTAAAAAATAATTATTTTATTTATTATTTATAAATGACTATGTTAGCAACAATGTGACGTCATCTGTAACTGGGACGTCATTAGGGACGTCATTAGTGATGTTTTTGTTCTCATGGAAATTTCATGTAGGATTTGTCAGGGTTTACAGTACAGTAATTAAAACCATAAAAATCATATGTAAAGTAGTGAATCAAAGATAGATGAAAAATTCCAATTAGAATATTTAATTATGACGTCATAGCGTTACCATGGTAACTGAATAAAGTTCTCTGTGATAGTTTTAATGATGTAGTACTCTCTTCCAAATGTTTCTTTCTTAAAAAATAGATGTTTTATGGTGGGAAAAGTATATTTAAGTCCCATCATTGTTCAGGGCCATCACGTTGTTATCACGTCATCATGTTTCCATGGTAATACAATTTTGTACCATTTTCTGTACCAGTATTATTAAATTGATGTATAGAAAAGGTCTTATAACACTTTTGAAATGGTTTTGTGAGTAATATATTATTTGATTGAAGTTTTCATGCTATTATATGTCATTAAATGACGTCATACGGTTGCCATAGCAACGGTAAGTGTTCAACTGTGACACCATATTCTTTCTTCATGTGTCGCCAATGTATTCTGAAAATTTCGTGGTAATCGGGTGAAACGTCGAGGAGTTATTACTTTAAATGTTAAAAAAAGTGGCTCAAACCCAAGCATTCTGTGGCCACATTTTAACCCCACCAATAATTCAGGGGCCGTTTGTTCAAAGGTGGGTTTAGCGCTAACCCTGTGTTAAAATTTAACCCACTGTTTTAGTTTGTGTATTTCTGCACGTCTGTTTATTTCAAAACTTCAGAGAAGTAAACTCCTATCGATCCAGACAAGATCTCTCAAGAAATATTTCCAAATTTATAGACCGGCCAGCTGTCAGGAAGTTTACTTTGAATTTTAAGTTAACCTAGGGTTAAGCTAACCCAGCTTTGAACAACCGGCCACAGAAGTAGAGGTGTCAATTATCCCCGAGCCAACGGCGCGAAGCGCCTTTCCGTGCGTAAGCTCGGGGCGAGGGTACTAATTCCGCTCGGCTATTTATACCCGGGTATTTGAGAACATAGCGAAGTGCCGAGTTTTTGCATGGCTTCATGATGCCACAATTCTTTATTGGCGAAAGACGATAACCGGGGTTATTACCGGGGGTGGGGACTTAGACGTTTTCCATCATGGCGATTAGCGGACTATAACATGGCAGATTTCGCTGGAAAAGATACTGAATTCCTTTGCAAATGGCTTGATACTCATTCTTTGGGATGGTCTTTCAGTACCATTGTCTTTGATCATTGATGAGTAAAATCCTTTGTCTACATGAAATAGCTTTTCTCCTTCAATGGAGAATGATCACTATAAAAAATTATCTATGAGTGCACCAGACACCGGACGCGATTCGACAACGGGACACGATTTTTAGTTTTCGAAAGTTAATAAAACAGCCAATGAAAGCAAATTTTAAAAGATATGTAGACCAAATAACTCAAAATGTTATAACGCTTCTAAATATTTAGAAAGTTTAAACTAGGATCAAAGATTATATTGGTCAGTGAAAATCGAAAAATCGCGTCGCGTTGTCGAATCGCGTCCGGACCTTTAAGTTTTATTTCCAAAGGTTGACATTTGATATTATCATAGGTCTAAGTAGATACGCTGAAGTTAGGGTTGAGAATTTATACAGTGTTGCATTAATATAAAAGCATTTTTATCCTTATTGTAGAACTTCTTTCTTGTACTTTGCATTTATATTGAATTATAATGTGGGGGGGGGGGGGGATATAGACCCAATTTTTTTGCCCAGGGGTGGGGATTTAGCACAGTTCTTCTTTCCCTGGGGTGGCGACATAGCCATTTACTTTCAGAAATGGCTAATTCCCCGGGGGTGGCCCGGGGAGGGGATGGGCACCGCTGGAATTGACTGATACGTTACAGCAGCTGGTATTTTTTGTCTTTATCACTTTTCTTTGTGTTTTATTTTGCCATTTGGGCAGGTTACGGTTTTTGTTTTCCTCTGGAGTCCTTACACAACGGTCCAACATCAATTTTCACATACAGTATACTGTAGTAACAGAAATGCCTTAAAATGATGGACAAATGGTGACAAGTCCCAACTTATCCTAGAGTTTTAATATATTGCCATAGGAGGCCCAGGCCAATATATAGAGGATATTAGACGGTTGCGAAGAGATATGGATTTTATGTTAGAGTGGAAAAACAATATCTCACGAGTGAACGGAGCGAACGTGTGAGATATTGTTTTTGACACGAGAACATAAATCCATATGTTCTCGCAACCGTTTAATGTTCTGTTTATTATATGGACTTACTCAGAGTGACAAAAATACACACAAAGACGACATGTAAATAAATACGCGAAAAACCAGTATAAAAGCGATATTTTTTAATATTATAGTGCAAACATAAAACTAGAATAAATTTTACTTATCTCAAGATGTCTTTTAAATGTTTTCATTTTATTTCCAACGTTAATTTCGTTTTAAATACGAACCAAAGACCCTTGGTATGTTCAAAACAACAACAATGAAAATGGCGGGAATTTTCCAACTTCGTATGTCACTCGCAGGGGTGAAATACGGAAAATACGCGCACCTGGTCCCGGATGTAGTGACGTACGAGTTCTACGAGTGTTTTAGTTTCCAGTAAAACACCATTGTCCATATAATAAATGGTTGTAATGGACACAAAAAGATCAAAACTGTTCCTAACAACTGCCTCTGTTGAAGTAAGTGTTGAATAAAAGCTTGCTTCTGCCTTGCGAGGCTCACTACAATTGTGAGTTGTGATTTTAACAGATAATTGTAATTTTTTTCATGGCTAACATAGGAGGTCGAATAGATAGTTGTACAAGTAAAGTTGGTACTTCATATATAAAAAGGCCAGCAAATAGACTTGAATTTTCTTGACGAATAATATGAATTTATGAATAGTGCATAGAAATAGAAGTCAATGGGTGAAATGGGAGAAGGGATGCCTATTGCACAACACTCTAATTTCTATGTCTGATATGACATATTTTAACATTTGAAAAGAAAAAATATATAATGTTCAATAGCATATAGACCAAATATAGATAATACAGTACAGGACTGATTGGATGTATTCTATTACACTTTTCCTGATGCCAAGAAAACCCCTGAAATGTGTAGAAAACTTGAAGAATACCCTGGTTAAATTCCATCCCACAAAAGTGAATCATCTATGTTCGAAGCAATTAGTATAATGTTCCACTTAACTAACACTAACACTAGCACTAACACTCTATAAAATTGTATAAAATTGTCTGCATTAGACAGAATATAGTAATAAAGTAGGGTGCAATGGGGCGCATTGCCACTTAAAGGCTTAACAGGATGCATGGACATATACTGTAGTCTGGTCAACCCATGAGTGCTAGAGCCCTCCCCTTGCAATAAGAAAGAAGAATTATATGGTGCATTGCCACTTATCAAAACACAGCGGCCCAATCTCTGAATGGTCTATATATTTTGAATACTTATACGGGATATTTATAAGTTTTGGATTTTGATAATTCTACACATTATAATTTCATTGCCATCATTCACTCGCCAGTTACAGTACATGGATTAGATCATTCAAAGCCATGATAGTTCTGGCTTAAAAAGGTCTTCCTCTATAGGTATACTAACAGTCTAATATAGTAGAAAGCACTTTAATTTTACTAAGTAGTATCATGAAGCAGGTCAACTGGCATTTTATATCGTAAAATTTGATATTTCAAATTAAACGAAAATCTGAATTTTCAACCGTTTTCTTTCGAGGAAGACTGTTTCTTGTAGTTTGGGCAACCTATTAATTGTATACATCAGTTGCTAAATTCGTGCACTAGACCACTACACAGTACACATAGGCTGTTTATTTCGCTTTGTTTTGACCTACTCTATCACAAATTAATTTCTTGAGGTTTGAATATTTGTTCCCTGTCTTTCACTAGCCAGGATGATTCCAGGGCCGTAGCGAGGGGGGGTATTGAGGGGGGGGGGGGGCTCCCCCCTTTTGTAGAATTAACATATTCGGAAAATCGGGTTGGCCATTCGGAAAATTACGGCAATAATAGTATAACAAAATTTTAGTTGTTAAACAGAGAAAATATAATATAATTGTATTGTGAGTATAAACTGATTTATGAAATCATGGCATTTACATGGATAACATTTAACAAATCGTAAATCGGTAAATGTTTTTCGGTTTATTACTTCTCAGGGCCGTAGCAATAATTTGCTAATAATCATTCTTTTTTCAAAATCATGCAGACCTTTATCATTTAAATAATATACCTTTAAAATACTGACAATTTAATTTGAAACTGCTACATTATCCATGACAAACTGCAAAGAATCATATTACCCATACTTTCCTGCAACTTCCCCGAAATATATAGTTGATTAAATACACCTTCGCCCATTTGGTACTACTATAAATTGTGAGCAAATTGTAAATTTCGACAAGCTACTAAAACGCTGTTTTCTGACCATCAGAATTCTGTCAAAACTTCCTCCCAAAGTCCAGGAAATGGCATTTCAGAGACTCTAAATTTAAAAATTTCCTCGGGCCTTCGGCCCTCGTTCTCAACCCCCAATCAAAAAGAGCTTTCTACGGCACTGCATGCTGCTGTAATATGTCTGTGCGTAAAATATGCGTATTTTTGTTTGTAAATTGCCTCATTTTCCGGATAGCAAACACCTTCGTGGCTTCGCCAGGCCATGAAATATTCGGAAATTTTTTTCGTCATTCGGAAATTTTTTGCCTACACCCCCCCCCCCCCCCCCCCC